GGCTTCATTTGGGATTGTCCAAGTTGTCAAGACCAGATCTGGTGGGAACACATCCAGCGGAAAAGCTTCTTCTGCGTCCACTGAAAATTTTTTGTGTGTGGAGAAATTCAATTGGAATTTTCATAAAGTGGCACTATATTCTAAAGCCTATACAGTAAATCGAGGACCAACGTAAAAACACACCAGCACATCGAAACCTCGACAAATGGACACCCCAATATTCTTACAAAAGAACTTATGGTCACTTTAATTGGGGGGAAATTGCGATAATGTTTCAAAATAAGGACACTTTGACAAAATTTCGAGAAAAATTGAAATATTGCTTTTGAATTTATGAACATAAATCCGATCATAATTGTTTTCAATTCATTTTCATAAATAGGATAATTTTGCTCATTTATTAGTCTTTATACGTCAACTGTGTAATGTTCTTGTTTTTTGTTTGTTTTCAATAGGGATCCTCTTCATCTCAAAAAGAGATTTTGCATGGTTATGTATTCTGCAAATTAAATTTTTCTGTGTTTTAAAGTTGACAGAAATATTTTTATTGTTTTCTAAGGGACTTTTTATAATTTCTGCCAAAAATACCTGACTATAAATCTTTCCATTTTGGGATATATGATCTGAAATTCAGGTTTTCCAGCACATGGGCACATTTCCAGAAGAAATTATATCTGCGTCTTGAGACCAACATATGGTTCTTTGTTGGTACAGTATCCCGTCCTAAAGTGTGACAAGTATTTAAATTGAATTTTATTGCAGAATATAGTTTTCTTTGGACACACTTTATTCGGTTTGTGGCTTTTATCAGTAAAGGCATTGAGAGACAAATAATATCTGAACCCTTTTGAGCAACACATGGCATTTTGACAAGCAGATTCTGGCAATTTAGCATAGATCTGCCCTAATCGAGCATCGTCAGGTTATTAAACTAATAAATTTTATAAATGATGACTCACTCTCGTAATCCACTTTGCTGCAGAAGTTGGGAGATGCTTTTGTCCACAGAAACCATCTTTTGTCATGATTCAATAACACTGAAGAATAAATAAAGGGACTTCCTCAAATAATATTAGCATTCTAATTCCNGTCTTGACCAGGCAAGAGCGTCTACTTGATCAAATATCAATCCACCCGAATCCGAACGTGCTTCCATTTTTTTTTTCTGGAAAGTTTTCAACATGTTCGACCAGTTTTGGTGGAAAATTCATAATAAGTTAAAAGGAGTCAACTTTTTAAATTCTGAAAGCAGGGCTATGAGTTTTTCGGCTCTTGGTGGACATTTTAGTGAAATAATCATTGAGGGCTTAACATTTTTTTTGACTAGGCAAAACTTCATCCAATTGATCGGAATTTTTTGCGAAAAACTCCGACTAGGAAACTACAGATTTCCCACGGATTTTTCTCAAAATGGTGGTGCAGAGAAAAAAAGTATTCCACCACATTCTGTTTTTCAATTCGAAAAGCTGAGCGATAGGTTTTTTCTGGCTTTTGGTGAACATCTTTGGCGAAGGATTCCATTACCTTATAAATCAGGAGTCATTTCGCTGACAAGAATTAATCCACGGTCGATCAGAATTTTTTTTATGTATAAACAGAAAATCATCGAGCGAAGAGATGAAATCCGAACTGATTTGCATGCCGATTGTGTGAGCCACCTTTCGAACAAATGAAATGACTAATCCGCTTTTCTTCTAAATTCATTGAAATTTCTTGCATGATCAGGTTTTTTAATCCTGAGGTTTACTCGACTAAAATATTTGTGTATCAGATTGAGATCGTAGACAGGGTTTGGGTGGGTTTAGATTAAAATGAGGATGAATTCTAATTTGACACTTTTGACGCAGTCACTTGCTTGGTTTTTGAGCTGAAATTATGCTGAATTTCGCCGAATAGCTCTTCATCCTTGAATAATTTTCACGGAATCAAGAAATGGGAGGAAAGCCCGTATACATAACGACGGTCGATATATTTCTTCATTTCGAATTGGCAGATTTAGTTACTCGAGAGATGCGGTCAACCGAAGAAAAAGGAGTCAGACGTCGCTGGAGATAATAATTCGTGGTTTGAGAGAGTCTATCTCAGATCCTGAAAATAACATTCCCGTGATTGAGATCGATGCTCTTCATGATCCAGAAAATCCGGAGGAGGTTCAAAAGTTTGCTGAGGGCTCTGAGCGTTTATGGATGATCATTCAGAAATTTTCGAAGGTGATGATAATTTTTTACCCATTTGTTTTAAGACTTTGGTTGATCAATATACTAAATGTGAATAACCGAATGCCAAGTATCTGATTTAGTGATGAAATATCCGACTAACAAATAGACCATATGCAAACATTCTACTGCGTTTCTTCAAAAATGTCATAGCATAGCCCAAAGTACTACTGTATTCGTCGGAACTGCTTTGAATTCAAACCCTACTCAAAAATAAATCCCATCTAGCAATACAAGAGTTGGTTCATAAGTTTTGATACTTCTTCAAAAGGATCCAACGGAATTTCAATAGTTCCAACAAATTCACACGCCTAGCCCCATTATTTGTCAACTTTTCAGTGCTCTTCAACGATTTCAATGCATTTTTTCATGCGATGAATTAAAAATGCCGAAAATAAAGTTCCGTTACTTGATAAAGTTGCTACTGCATTTGACAGCGGAAATGAAACTGTACATATCCTTAAAATCGATCCCTTTCAAGTCATCGTGCTTCACCGTCGGAAACAACCGGAAGTCACAGGGTGTCTCATCCACTAAAATAATTTGAAATGTTTTACTATTTGGATTGTTCGATTTATGGCATGACAAAAATGCATTGAATCGGCGGAGAGTATGTTCAACAGCATGGAAGTGTTACCATATGATTTAGCTATGCTAAGAGTAAAAAATTTTTTGGAATCGTTGGAACTCCATTTGATCTATTTCAAAAAGCCTCGAAACTTTCGTCCCAATCCTCGTATGTTCCAAGAATATAATCAATAGTTACACTCAGGACCTGCAACTTTGTTTTCAAAAAGGTTTCTAATTAACCTAAAATCCTTGTCACTGATCATTGGAAATGACTCAGCACTATTAGGAAATGTACAGTAAAGTTTTATTTCTAATTCACGCGAATTGTTGATGTTTTCGTTCAAAAATACACCTGTGTCCCTTAGAATTTGTTCGGTGAATAATTTGAATTAGGTAAAACCAGCGCCTGTGAAAAAGACTTTCCTTGTATCCATTGTTTGTTCTTTTGTAGCGTCCGATGGAAGATGTTAAATTCGTGGAAGATTCAATATCCAATTTCAATGTGAAGATCGAGAAATTGACGGATCAAATCAACACGCTGAATGCACAGAATGCTGAAGAAAAGAGGATGAGGAATGAATTAGAAGAAAAATTGAACGAAGTCGCAGAAAATAAAGAGATGCTGGTGAAACAGCTGGAAAATCAGAAAACCCCATCGACCAAAGCAAAGAAGAGCATTGTGAAAAAGATTTTGTCAATTCTGATTCTCATTGAACCCATTATATCGGCAATTAGCACAGTTTTCAACAGTGCCAAGGATTTAGTGCGTTGATTTCTGAATTACTTCCATTTATCTATACTGTTCTGTGTTTGATTGCACTGTGCAGTATTTACACTTGGGTTATACATTCAAATACACAAATATTTTTAATCATACTGGATTATTACTTTTGCATTGCATTTCTATGGTTGATAACTCCAGGGATGTTCGGATTTCTATGTAGAATAAGTTTCTTCCATGAATCAACAGCTGGTTGAATCTTGAATGGCAAGCGATCATTCCTTTGAAATTGAATTGGATCACCTTGAGCGTACTTCTTTACTTCTCGGCTTGGAATACTGTGTACAAACCTATTATGCAAAAAATGTAATGGAAATTAGATACTCCAGGAAAGTTCAATTTAATATTTGTATGGAAGAAAAAAAATTTTCATCTTATCATGAAAGGCTTTCACTTACTCAATTGACTTATACTGTCCTGAATTTTTCATGTGAAATTTAGAAGATTGTGTTTGATGCCCTGGAAACGTACTATTTTTCGTAATTTTTAAGCAAGCATTTGGACCAAAACAGCTGGATGATTTGGTCATTGTTCTCACAAGCACTCATCCGAGTAATCAGGAAAATTTTTGGATTTTTTGATGAACTTATTTACGGTATGGAGTAATTGTGAATTTCTTGTAATCAAATTTTTCACAAGAACAAATTTTAAAAAACGCTTACTTTTATCCGCAAACATTACGACATTGATAACAGAACAAAAATTGCAATCACGCCCTCAACAGCACCGTCTACCCGAAAAATCGACTCTGCCTACTCATTTCAGCAAAAATGCTGTCACCCGGAACCTTCTTCTTTGCCAGTGTCAACAGCCGTTTTGAAAATACCCGCGATCAATGCAACGACAGTGAAACCCTGGGCAAAGATTCGAGCCCTCATCATTTTTTGCGACATCTTCGGATTACGTCTGATGAAGGATGCCAATCCTAGGAACAGAACTGTTCCTGTCGCGACGCAACCTGGAAATATTTACAATTCGAACTATAAAAAATATTTCTGCATCGTTTCGCCAATTTTTTGAATAACGCTACTTGGAAAGAATTTGCAGAAGGCGAGTTGTTTGAAACTTACAACAGATATTTTTGATCTTGGGGAAAGACAGCTGTCACGCACTTGACCCTTGGAACCCTTATTTCCTTCGAATCATATTCTGCATCCAACGATTAAAAATAACTACAGTACAGTACTGCGCAATTCTGAATTTTACATTCATTATCACCATAGGTACACAAAATTCAGTGTTTTTTGCTTGTTTTACATGATTGACTTCCGGCACATTCACGATGTCATTCTCCATTCAAGTATCCATTTCGGAGACATTTGAAAATTAACCGTTCATCAGTGAGATGGGTATAATTTTTCTTCGATATAGAGCTGCGGTACACTTCCCAAGTTCTATTAAATTTTAAAAATAATGTACCAAACTGGATGAACGAACTTTATCACCACGAATCACGTCTATAATTATTAGATAAATGTTTGAGAATGGGAAAACCCTTGGACCGAACATTTTACTATGAACTAAATTTTGAATTTGGTCATATGGAAGATTCACTCACCAATTGGGACAAGTGGATTTTCGCCAAATTTCCGTTTGAACTTTTCGGATGCAGTTTCGACATTCGGATTAGGGATCATTTCCGCAAAACCGCGATTTTTTTCCACATCCTTCCGGATTTGAATCCATTCGAGCTGTGGCGCAGCTCCTACTTTGGGCGTGTCATCGTTCTTCCCAGACATGTGGTCAAAAACGCGCTCACAACAAAATAAAACGCAATTTTGCAAACCTGCAGCACAATGAAATCGCAACAAGACATTTTCGAAAACATTTAAAAACAGAACGAATACCTTCAGCAACGACGTTTCAACGAAAAGAAACCGTAAAAATTCATTACAAATTGAGCACTTTCGCCATATGAAGAATACTACATAAAAGACATAGTTTCTTCCAGGAAAACGAGGTAGAGATGCATGAACTTTGCAACGAATGCTTCCAAATGAAAGATGGCCTTGTTTCCCAGATGCATTTGATACTCGTAGGAAGCTGCTTGTTCCACAACTGAGGCTTTCAGACCACCGTCAATACTTTTCAGCAGTTCTTTCACCAGACCCTGAGTATTTCGAACGAATGAAAACCATTGCCAGAAACTTCGTCGTGACAAGTTCATAAAACCTATACCTGGAAGATCTTCGATGCAGGAATGCAATGTGATGTAAGTTCGTACAATCGTGATCGTATTTCAAGCAACTGACGGGGGCTTTGCTCTTTCAGGATCAACGCTGCTGTAGCTTTCAAATACTCTTCCCAGTCGGGATCAGGAATTTTCTGATTTGGCACAAATGGGTACCTTAGGAACAGATCGAGAAAATCGAGAAAAAGTTGACAGCCTCGCAGGAATATTCTCACTGTTTCACGCGACATGCTTCGCAGGACATAATAGCTCTTCTCAGGTTTCCCTTGGATTTTTCCGCTATTTTCTGAGCTAGTTCTGACGGGATATTCAGTCCTTCACTCTTGCAAACGCTCTGAAACATGGGAAATAGTGTACGTTTTTGGTGCACGGAAAATGAAAAGGTTTCCTTTACCTGCAAAACCTTGACGATTTCATCATGACTCGGAGACGGAACCCGTATACCTAAACAGCGAGATCGAATGGCAGGAATGACCTTCGAAATTGATTCACAGCACAGAATAATTCTGCAAGTCGCAGTGTATTTTTCCATTGTTCGCCGAAGGGCATGTTGGGCATCAACGGTTAAATTGTCCACCTCGGTGAGAACAACCACTGAAAAATAATGTCTTTAATTTGAATCTTTACTTCGCCACAAGCTGAATGCCATTTGTCGAAATACCTTTAAAATCTTTTTGATCGTGCGGATTGATTTGCTTCGCTTCCGCTGTAGCCTTCAGAAGTTCTTGAATGACAACACGATCGTAGATTCCCACGTCACTTGGATTTATTTCTACATGATAGTTGCTTGCAATGCTCATCAATTCCAACTTCTTGTTTGATGGAGTCTACGAAGATCAATGGTCAACGGTTATTCGTCACTTCAGTTGCATTCGGTACTTACAGTGAAAGTCTGATGTTCATGACGAAGCTTCTCAACTCCCGGACCGTAGAGTTCACGGAGTATACACATGATCCTGGTCTTCTTTCCAGCTCCAGAGGGCCCATAAACTAATAAGTGCGGAAAGTCTGGAGAGTCCACCTGGAATTAAAATTGGCATGAACCCATACAGTGCTAACATAATGAAGGATTTAATCCTAACTAGTTTCTTGAGTAGTGCCGCTTGATCATTGTGGAAGTCCAAGCGGTGGAGATGCGTAGGTCGGTATTTGTCAATCCACAAACTCATTCTCGTATTGTCCCTGACTACAAATACAGCGCATATTCGAGAAATTAAGACGCAGTTTGACAAACAGCTCAGCTTCAAAACGAACAGCAAAGCTTCACTCAATCAGGACTTCACGAAGAATCGATCACATTCAAAAAGTAAGGTCTGAATCAACGATATAAGTAAGCATTCACAGCAAAACGAAACAAAAACACACCACCCACACGGACTCCTTCACTTGCTTCGCGAATCTAAGAAATACCGTGACGCGACGTTAAGCGCGGGAAAAAGTTTTCTGAAATAAGGAAAAAAGGACAGGAGGGTAAGGATAGCATTCCTTCCAGCACGTTAATTTAGTTTACATAGGTGTCGCTATTAGTCAAACAGCACCACGCCTCCATTGAGGACACCGTACTGTGATGTTGTTCAGTAATTTGAAGGAACTCCGACTTCTGAAGAATTTGATGGCACAGTCTGCGTGGAAAGAACTCGAACCATAATGGAAAGAGAACAATTTCTCAATCGAAAAATTGAATGCTGAACAAGAGCAGGAGGCCACGTAACCCATACGGCGCATAAGAATTCTAGTGGATAAATGCCTTCCTCGGAAGAGTCTGATTCATTTCATTTCATTGTAATTGAAGGAACGCAAACACTCGGAAACCAAGCAGAAAATATTAAAGCTAAATTGTTTGTCCAATCACTAATGATGACAGGAGCTACGTAACTTGGAAGATGATTACACAAGCAGGGTATGTTATTAGAAAATATACTTCTGGATGGCAGCATGAGCTTAGTTGGGCTAATGGTCTGTTGCACAAACCGAGCAAGGAAGAGGAGACTGTTTCAATGCCCGAAATTAAAAATAAGCCTTCTTTCTCTAAAAAAAAAAAAACGAGCATCATTGGAGCAATGATCAATTCCAACTTCTCTAAACCAAGCTCTCTAATCCCGGAAATTGTTTCGAAGATCTTAATAAAATAAAACTATTTTGCGAGGAAGGAAGATTTTTAAAATTTATAATCATAACCGAACCTAAGTTTTCCCAATTGCAAGGAACCTGAACATTCAATATTGAAAATTCGATATTTAAATGCTTAAATCGCGAAATTAAGACTCAGAAAAATCATTGGAGCAGTTTGCATGAGACTACAAGGAAAATTAACTTCACGAATTAAAATTGAAACTTTGACGATGAGCTTGAAGAGGTGGAAAACGTGATCCGCCCACTCTTCAAGGCTGCCACTGCTGCAGTTCAACGTGGCTTACGTCATTGAGTATTCCAGAAAGTGTGAGAAGATGAAGGAATCTTGAAATTCGATCACCCATGGATAGTCATGATATCATGTGATGAAGCTGGGAAGACCCATTCCCGATCAGTGCTTTTGCCCAGAACACGAAATCATCAACACACCAGATTCAGTCCACCGAAAAATCTTCGCATGTATTAAACTTTTTCCTCAGTCAAAAGTTCTCTCGACCGGTTTGCTTCCCGGAGTTCGACACGTTCCTCCAAAAAAACAAAGCCTTCCGGCGCCGCAAAATAAAACGACACAATTTCTGAAAATTCGACACATAAAACACGAAACGGCGGCTTTTTACGCCCACCTAAACAAAAAAAGGGCACCCAAAAAGGAAGACAATCGTTCCCACGAACATCGAATCAAAACATCCCGCGCAAAATAAAATCAACAGTCATCACACAATCCAAAGGAAATTCAACGCTTTGGGGGGTAAACAGAAGAGGAGAAAAAGGGAGCAATTCTCGGCCACTTATCAGCTCGTCGCATGACATTTTTGAAAAAATAAAGGAGTAGCGAAGGACACAGTAAGAGGCACGAAAAAGAACCCAAAAGTTGGGCAGCTGAACATTCACTAACCCCCCAAGCGTTTTTTCTCTGAGTATAATCTCTCAACAGGGAAGGTGCTTTTTTCTTTCTCTTCTGACTAGATTCATGGCTCTTTTTTCTTCTTCTTTCCATTATTCACCGAAACCCCAACATTTTTTTCGAAGATAAGTTCGTTTGGACCAGCTACACTTTTTCACCATTCCATCACCACCTTTTTTTCCTCAGTTGAAAACAAACAAAAAAATTATGAGATTCCAACTCTTGCCTCTTATTTAATCAAGTTAAAAAAAAAAGATGAGTGGACGGATTGAAAAATCGTGTCGTCGGGTCCAAACGAACCCGTTCAACGTCACACGTAAACCGGCGAACCGGTCTGAGGCGACGACTCTTCGCCGCCATTCCCGGCGGCATTCGCATTCGCTGCCGTCGCAATGGCCTCTGAAATGCTGTGAAACGGATTCGGGTATCCGCCGTCGTCGAAAAACCGGCGGAAGGTAAATTCCAGAAACGCGTGACCGGGTTTGTGGAGTCCGTTGCTCAGTGCGTCGGAGCTGTCTCCGTCGCCGTCCACGTCTCCCGACGGCCTCAGCTTGTCCGGATCCACGGGATCAAAATTGGACGTGTCCGTGTCGAATCGAATTGTGGGCTTGTAGGGGGCGTCCGTCAGTCGAATCCGGTCCAGGTCCAAGGATGAGAAGAACCCGTGGTCCTTGACTTCACCGGCGCCGTTTCGGCCGAGTCGCACGTCTGCGGCTGTGCACAGCTTGAGGATTAGATCCCGAGCTTCGGGCGTCATCTTGGCTGTGTTGGGCACCCTCAACGATCGCTCCCAGTTGATCACCTTTTAAATGAACAAGAAGAAAATAAAATAACCAAGAATGCCACGTATTTATTTTCACCATAGCGCGACTTTGCCATTTTTCTATGCAGTTACGATATACGAGGGTTGTCCCACTTGTGCGCGACGTTAATTATTTCTAGAGTATGTATGATTGTAAAAAAAAAGTCGGTTATGATATTACTGTATACGGTTCTGAGATTTTTTTAAAAACTCGTTCTCAATTTACTCCTGGATGATGAGTGAAAACTTTCTAGTTAGGGCCAGAGTTCTTGACCGATGTCATGTGGCATCGGTGAATTCGATTTGTTGACCTTTGAGAAAAACGGCGGCAAAATTCGTTCGACGCCGAATTTCATTGAACAATAATCATTCCATCTTACAGCCTCAAGTTACTCGATGAAGGTACTTTTTGTGATATTGAAACAGATCGGGACATTAACTCCTCATCATCGGAAAGTACCCAGTCCATCAACCAAGGGAGAAATAAGGGTGAATTATTTCTTCAACATACCTTTCGCTGGGTATGAGCAGGAGTCTCGGCAAGAAACGGGGGTTGACCGACGAGCATTTCGTACAGAATCACACCTACGCTCCACCAGTCGCAGAGCTGCGTGTAGCCGACACCCAGCAGCACTTCCGGTGCGATGTAGTTGGGCGTCCCGACCAGCGAGTGGGCCAAGCAGCGTTGGTGTTGCCGTCGTAACCGACGTCGTTCCAACGGCTTCAGCGTAGTCGTGCCGGCGCAGTTTGGCAAACAGCCGTTTGACCCGTTGTTCCCGGAACTGTTTTGCAACGCAGATAATTTGCAGTGGCACTCGTTCACCCAGTCTTCGCCGGGGTCCATCGAACTTTGCCTCGAATGGTCGCCTGCAAAGAAAAAAAAAGAAAACATGAGGACATTATTTAGCGTCATTGGCTCCGGAAACTACTATAGTACTGTACATTTGCAAAAAAATCGTGTTACTCTCTAATCCCGGAAATTGTTTCGAATATTTTTATGAAACTATTTTGCGAGGAAGGAAGATTTTTAAAATTTTAAAGCATAACCGAGCCTACGTTTTCCCAATAGCAAGGAACTTGAACATTCAATATTGAAAATTCGATATTTAAATGCTTAAATCGCGAAATTAATGCTCAGAAAAATCACTCACTTCTGAAAATGTAAAAAATAAGTCTATTAAAAATCAAGGAAAAGGCATTCCGAATGCTGAACTGGAAAAAATGACAAGATGTAGTTTTAAAGTCAAGAATCCTTTTCAAATAGGAAAAAATATTCGAGAAGGAGCAAATTAAACCCAACACAAAGTCAGTTTAACCACGCAAAGACCTAAGTTCACCATTCTTCATCCTTGATATAGCAAATGAAATTATTTTAGAAAAAAAATCGTAAAATACACCATTCTCGAGGATATTCCGGAATTTAAAAATAAAACTCACTGTTATGTTGGTAATATTTTGAGTTATGCGTCCATCGGAAGCCGGTGCAGAGCCCGAAATCTGTGAGCTTGATGTGTCCATCTCGGTCAATCAGGACATTGTCGGGTTTGATGTCACGGTGGATGAAACCCATCTTGTGCACACTTTCAATGGCACAAACTAGCTCACCAATGTAAAACCTGAAGTAGAAAACAAAGACATTGATTTAAACATACTCAACGAATTTTTTCAGTTTAAAAATACAAACCTAGCTAGGTGCTCTTCGAAAATTCCGAATCGGATCAGCAGTGACATCAAATCACCGCCAGGTATGTAGTCCATCACAAAATATAACGAATCTTTGTCCTGGAAAAAATAGATGGAAAAGTATTAGCATCCAGATTTAATTCATGGAAAAATGCAGCGCGTTGGAACTAAGCTCACATAACCCGTCACGAACTCAAATTAAAGTGTTTTCGCAAAAATTCTATAAGCTCCTTTTCTTTACTGTGAAAAACAGCAAAAAATTATCGTCAAGTCTCAAGTTCACCGCACGAGAGCTTTTGAAGAGAACAAAGAACTCCACGCAAATTATAAATAGAGTACAGTGCTTCATAAATTTTTTAAAAACTTCTTTCCACTTGACTGGTACAGTACTTCATTTCTTTTGAATGACCCCGTTTTAATGCACAAACAAGAATTACAGACTTACAGTGATAAAAAAAATGCCTGTGAACAGCAAATAATAAATTACCTGGAAGGAGTAAAAGAGCCGAACGACCCATTCGTTGTCAGCCTCGGCCAAAATGTCCCTCTCAGCTTTCACGTGAGCAACTTGATTTCTCCGCAAAACATCAGCCTTTCTAAGAGTTTTCATTGCGTATAAATGATTCGCGTCGATCTTCTTGACGAGAGCCACTTCCCCGAAAGCACCCACTCCCAAAGTTTTGAGTTTCACGAATTGCGAGCGATCCATTTTTGCTCGCTTAAGCCTGTAATAGAAAAAATGAGATATGTAAATGCAATCGTTTGTGTTGAATTTAAAAGAGGGAGAAATTGAACAAACCTCATGTAATTAGACTCTTTCTGCGAAAGCAGTTTTCGCATTTGGTCCCTCGCTTCTTCAGATAACCGAGCACGATTCATTTCGCGTTCCAACTGAAGCTTCCTGTGTTCCCGGAGTTGTTTTTGCTTCAGCAAGTTTTCCATGTGCTGTTCCATGAAAAACTTGAAAGCCTGTGAAATAATCAGAAATAAAAGCCATTAGTTGTTTGATCGACTGCCCAGGTAGAAAAAAAAAAAAAAAACGCTAGGTTCGAAACAACTTCGGATGTGAACCTTTCTCTCAAAATTTCTCAACAAAGCAGTGATACGAAGAGTTCTCCATTTTATACGATTGTGTGGATTTAGGATTGTCTCAAGATCTTTCTGAATAGGTGTCAAGTTGAAAGTAGATCCTAATATCAATAATTTTACCTGAGGAGAGTAGTTTTTCACTTTCGTCTCCCTCCGTTGGTCTTCCTTCTCTTTACTGTACTTCTTCCGCTCCGGAATCGGAGACTGATGAGTTGTCTTCCCGGTCTTGGGCCCATTCAGCGGCGGCTTCTTGTCAGCCGGCGGCAAAGGAGGTGGCGGCGGTGATTCAGCCCGAGAACCCTTGGAACTCGGTGGTGGCGAAGGAGGCGGAGGTGGCGGAGCCCGTTTGTTCAGTGGAGGCGGCAACGGCGGCGGTGGCGGCGTCAGGGACCGCATGGACGACCCGTAGTCGGAATTGGACACCGGGCTTGCGGATCGAGATGAACCGCATCCCGAAGCGTCCAATGTCAATCGTTGAAGAAGCTGAAGTTGCTGCAAGACAAAAAAGTTGAACATTGACAAATTTTGCGAAATCGAAAAATCTAAACGCGTGTATTTTGAACTTATCCTGCCAATTTGACACCATGAACAATCATTCAATAATTCATCCGGCTTTTTTCGATTCAATACACCATACGTCGCGAACTACGCATTTTAAAGTACAGGTATTTGCTATCACATACGCGTCGCATAAATTCAAGTTGCTTCAAAATTGATTTTTAAAGTGAAACAATGCAATCAACTGATGAGAAAACTATTTTTAATCAGGAAACTTTAGTTTTTGCCACACACGGAAAAAAGGGCAAGAAAATATTCCTTTAAATCGTTCAGTCTCAAAAAGAACTAAGGTTAATTATTTCCTGGTCAAAAAATTTCACTCGAGTTTTCAGAGGAGAACATTCTAAGATACTTACAGTTTGCTGCAACTGGTTGCCACCAACGGGATGGCCGACCCTGGAAAAGTGGTAGTAGCCGCCGTTGGTGACCTGGGCTGGCCCAGCGACGTCCGTCGGCGGGGCCGGAGGAGGAGGAGAGTCCATCGTCGTCGTTGCCAATTGATTAACCGGGATCTGTGCCAAAGGCGTCGACGCGTTCTCAAGCACCGAACTGATAGTGCTGATGACCGGCGTGGAGTTTCCATTCGGCGCCGTGGCGTAGCCGCCGTTTGCCATGGCCTGGATGGTCGACTGGTACGACGGCGGGTCCGTCGCGGGGACGGAGGCATGTGTGCAGCAACAACCGCTGTGTTGAGAGCCTCCGTAGATATCCGACACGGACGCTGGCGACGAGGAAGGCGGTGGATGAGGAGGCAACGGCGGCGGCGGTGGCGGGTGCGACGGCAATTGAGGCGGATTCTGAGGACTTGACCCAAGCCCGCCTAAAAAAAAAGCAATACATCAAATATTAGTTCAAGTCGAAGTGCTGTACAGTGATATTTTCTAGTGATGAAACAAAAATTCTGGCCGGAACCTATTCAAAATGTAGTTGGTTTTGTAAAACCTACATTGTATCCTCAAACTTTCCTTCACTCGAAGTCTAGTCGGACGTCCAATTTAACTCAGCTAGAACTAAGTCAAATCATTTTTAATCAGGGTAACAATTCAGAAAAGACCCGTACGACATTTCGAAAAACGAAGTTCAGGCATAAGAACAATAAAGAGAAACAAAACCACAACCGAAGCTTTCTAGTCTTGCACAAGGAAATGAAGTAAATTTACGATTAATTTCAGCATAAAATGGTTCATACCAGGAAATTACACACAGAATATTAGATTCACGAAGGATATTTATAAATATATGAAAATAAAATACAGGAGGACTCTCTCTACATCGATCTTCTCTACAACGACTTCTTTTTTTTTAGTCCCGTAGGGTTTTATCCCCACGTTATAAAAGTTCTCAGCAACGAAATTCTCTCTACAACGCATTTTATTTTTGTCTCTTGAATTTCGTGGTAGAGAAGAGTTCACTAGTAGAAGCGATATTCAAAAATAAAAAGAATAAAATTTAAAACTCCCAAAACGTACCGTTTTGCGAGCCCTGGGTCATGGGCGCCGTGGGTGCGACGGCCGTCTGCAAAACGGGTTTTTGCACAAGCGTGCTCCTCACACTGGGCATGATGACCGGCGGCTGGGTTTTGGCTCTCCACACCGTCAACGCCGTCGGTGACTTGCCAACTGCCCTCGGATCCGCCATCGGATACGGCGGTGGCGGCTCTTGTCCGCCATCAACTGTCCCGGCCGTCACTGACGACGACGACGTACACGACGATGGACACGGGGACGCCGGCGGTGGTGGCGGTTGTTGTTGCTGTTGTTGTTGTTGTTGTTGCTGTTGAATGATAGTCCCAGAGGATAAATTCAGCGCCTGGAGCTGCTGGGTGAGTTGCTGATGCGCCTGCGGCGTGTTTTGCACCACGAGGGGTTGCGGACGTCCGGGTTTCCCAAACGGACTGCCGCTTCGTTGTTGTGGCGGCACTGGTGGCGGCGGTGGGCCAGGCGACATCCGACGCAGCATTTGCTGCACAGTCGACGGCACGGCAGAGTATCCGTTCGGCGTCGGCGGTGGCGGTGGTAGAGGCGGCGGAGGAGTTGTTCCTCGGGCTGGTGGCGGAGGTGGTGGTGGCGGTGCACTGCCTCTTGGTGGCGGTAGTGGCGGCGGAGTGGAACCTTCGTATTGCCTCGCCATGAGCATTTTGGCTGGGGGAGGTGGGCCTTGTTGAGCGTAGTGGTGGTGTAGGTGGTGGTGGTGGTTGTGGGAGTGGTGCATGTAGTGGTGATGAGGCGGCAATGGGGTGACGTGCTGGTGACGGGATGGCGGCTGCTGAGGCGCCGGTGGTGGCGGCGGTGGGTGGTGCATGTGATGTTCGCGCTCGAAACTCTGGTTCCGAATGAGATTCGTTGCTTGCAACGCCGACAATCCTGTAAACAAAAAAATTGAGCATAAACATTTTAAAATCTAAAATATTTCAACACATGTGTATTCATCAAGAAATGAATCTTAAGGTAAAAACGCTAAAAAATATGTAATGAATATGTACGCGATACTTAATGAATTAACGGCGATGAACCTTAAATCAAGCGTTGAATAAAAACCCTTCTAAATCCAACACCAAGAAATTCTTTAAAATGCCACGCTGTTCGAGATCCTGACAGCAATAATTTGTTCTTTGTCCCTTAATGTGTAAAGGAGGGAACCAGAAAAAATCTCTCCTCTTTTATAAATTAAAAAAATAATTTTATCAACAAACTTTAGTAAAGCAAAAAAGGGAAAAGCAAGACTGAAAGAAGAATGTAGTATAATATTCGTGAATTTTGTTCACTTCCCTCATGAGTTGTGACATCAGAACACCGCTTGAAAGTCGAATAAAGCACTGCATATCAGTCGGAGTATTAATTTTTTGAGATTGTTTCGCTTTAATGCAAATTGTCAAAATATCAATCGGTAAATTTGTAAGCTTTCCTGATAAACGTTTCAAATTATACGAACAGTGGTTTCATTTCTCGCTGAGCTTCCAATACTCGTACTCGACTGGATTCTCATTTAATTTTTCTGTAAGTTAGAAAATAGTTTCCAAAGAAAGGACCACTCAAATAAGATTCAGCTTAAAAATAGATGACCTGAACCTACAGGAACAAAGAATAATTCCCAGCAGGAAGCTGTCTTACACTTTTTGTTTCTTCTCAGAAGAAAACGGGACCAGAAATAAGTAATAAAAAATATTGTAGATATATATTCCATAAGGCGAATAAACCAAAAGACAAGGAAATCAGATCTCACCATTCGCATTGTTTCCGCCGGAAGTTTTCGCGTGTCCGCTGGACCCAGATTCATTCTGAACCTGTTGTTGCTGCAGGTACTTGATCAGATCTTGCACGCTGTCCGCGCCCTTCGACTGCAGCTCTCTCAGCAACCATTCCTACAAAACCCAGGAAAAAAAAAACTCACGCATTTAAAACGACTGCTTCATTAAAAAAAAAACAAAAAACATGTGTATAATAAATATCCGTTTTCTTTCTCCCGCGTCGCCGCAATCAATCCGGAGAAAACGGATGACGCATCAAAGGCATTCATTCATTCATTCATTCATTTTTCCCCCCTGTCAATCCGTGACAAGGAAACATTTCTCATGAATGACTCATATCAAATCCACGCGGTACAATCAGAAATTCGTTCGCATTTCGGATGAAATCGGGAGCAACAGCTGAAATTTCCACCTACGCAGTCCGACTCACGAAGCATCGGGATCATTCGTTTTAAAACAGGAGATAGAGCCAAAAATGTTTTATTTTCCTTTTCGCAAGAAACGAAGATAAAATGATTGCGTGTGTCGAGGCGGCGACGCCCAGTCTGACGCGAATCTTGTCTCTTTCTCTCCCTCTCGCTTGTCGCAGAAAGCAAGATCAAATAACCCGGGATACTTCGAAAAGGAACCCCTACAAGAATCCCTTCGAAGTTCAGCAAAAAAATGCAGAATTGAAACATGTAGGATTTTAAGATTCCACAAGACGTTTTCACAAAAAACCCCAAATTCGATGGACCGCAAGCTTCAGTCAATAAGAATAAATCTATATTTAATAAAATCTTTCGAGGTGACAAAATATGCTTGAAAAAATCAATCCAGAACCAAGAAAAGGAGTTTCCGAAGTAATGTGCGTCGGAAACCTGAATATTGAAGGAAAAAATGCGTGAAATGAAATGAGACTAAAATGGCCTAAAATCACATAAAGAAAGGTTCCAACAGAAAATTAATCTTTACACGCGCTCGCGTTTAATCGATTTGGTTTCACGTCGGTAATTGGTTAGAGTAAATCATTTAGACTATTTCAAGTTAGTTAAATTTCCGATTCTAACCCACATTTTCTTATCAAAACAAAAATCGTAAGAGTTTCGGTGAAAGGTTTCCTTCGCGGAGTAGCCCCGCAACCAGAAAGGGGTCCCTTAACTTCCTGTTTCCCGGGTTTCGTGGGTTATTTTATTTCATCTTATTTTTCTTTCTTAGATTCATCTCGAAGTCAATCCCTTCCTGTCCTTCTCCCAGGAACGTCGACACGTGTGCCAAGAGGTGGCTGACACCGGACTTGGCACAGGCCGTGTTTGCCAAGGCGATTCCAGGAAAAAACACCCGCGGAGCCCTTGAACATTTCGCATCTTTTTTTTTTTCCTTGCCTTCACAAATTATTGCTACAAGCCCGTACTAATTCATTTCGAAATGGGTTTTTCGCTAATGTTACTAGGGACTACTTTAAAACGCTCGCGAAAGTCTAGCCAAGCCGTTTTTCCAGGGAACGCAGTCAGTCGTTAGTAGCATGTGTTTTTCTCTTTTTTTTCAACTCATAAAACTGAAATTATTTTTTCCTCTCAGCTGTCGGAGAGACTTCTAAAAACGTTTTATTCAAGTGCGAAAGATCAGGAAAATACGTCCCTCGGTTTTACAATAGGTATAAAACAGATGATTCCAGGTAATAATGTAAGTGATTATGTTAGATTGTTTAGATTTCGACATTCTTTGCATGAAGTAAATATTATTTTCATACAATTTCCAATTGAGTGATATGGTAATTATTGTACAGTACTTCGATATGCGTGGTGAGGACCTTGAAATAAGACATATACTGTACTCTTAGTATTGTTCGGTTAGTTTAGTAAAGGAACTATTTCAAAAGGGTCAGAATTGTGATATCCTTGACTTAAAATTGAAAAGAAACATCCGAACAATGTTAAAAATTAACGAAATTTATTTATGGTCTAAAAAAAAGTAAGCGGAGGTTAACATCTCACCCGGATCCCTGAACACTAAATTTTTTGAAATTTTACCACCGATTTTCTCAAATGTCAACAAAATAAACCAGGATTAGCCTAGTTCACGAGCAATTTCCAGCGAGGGAATTCGGAGAAATTAGCCAATTTTAAAGAAAATTCGAAGTCTACAAATGGCGATACTGATACTTCCCACGATTGCAGAGATTACATTTCCATCGCAGAGCAATAACCGGATATTTAATTTTCCAAACAAAAAAAGACTCCCCAGGCTTCAACGAAACCTCTAAAGAAAATTGAAGCCGCAATTATCTTAACCGGAAAGAGACAAGAACCAGTTCTCCACACGACAGGAAAAAACCTTTGATAGCTTTGCGTTCGAGGATAAGATTGCGTTCCCCAAAGAGAACAACCATTAAAAAAATACTTTTGGAAAAATCCCCGTTTTTATTTTCAACTCCACAGCCACAACAATGCGGTCGAAGCTCGAGGCGGCGTCATTGCATTCCATTACTCGCATTCCTCATTCCAACTTTCACAGGCGAATTGTTGCCTCGGAAGAAGAAAGAGGGAAAAAAATGGACCAGTCTGAGGTTTTGATAAATGGAACAATGGGCTAGATAATATATGTCAAACAAAAAAAAAACTACATAAAATTCAACCAAGAGTTGCAAGTGTTGTCAGAAATCTTCGTACCGTATTTTAATAGTCCCGTCATGAAAAAGCATTTCGACGAATGGATCGAACAGTTGGTTCCGAAAGTTCGAATTCTCATCCAGAAAAAATTTCAAACAACGTGTATCCATCAAAGTTGAATACGTACGGCGTTTACGCCTCCGACATTAGGTCAAGTTGATTTTCGATCAAAACATTTTTTTAAATAAATTTCACAGCAGACCAGATGACGTTAAAACTAAAATATCTTCAACCAAGAGAACTTCGTCGATGATGTGCAATTTTAACATGCAAGGAAATTCACATCCACGGTACTTCTCGCCATATACAGTACAGTATTAATAAAAATACTACCAGTACGAATTCCACTATCTGACCCTGCTGACTTCCTGTAATAAGTGTCTAAAACAAGGAAATGCATGAAACGTGAAAATTCAAATTTTGATAAATCTCGTCAACTTCACGATACAAATATTTTACTCTTTGGAACAAATGTATTCGCATGATATGATTAGCGTTCATCATGAAATACAATTGGAATGATTGAAATACAGTACATAATTTAATTCGTGTCGTAACGTGAAAACACGATACTGTATATCACAGCTATTCTACAGTCTTCGCGAAAAAAAATGCACACGGATCCTCGGAAAAATTTTAATCGTATTTCGCTTTGGTAATAATATAATTATTTTGTTTACAATTGTTCGATCATCACAGAAAATGTTTAGCAAGAATCGATTCGTTGGTGAGAGAGGAGGGGAATTTGTATGAGAGAAAGGAAGGGAAAAATATGCCGGGATATATTTTTTCGACTCGCGTGAAGGGAAGACGAGAGCGAGAGAGAGAACTGGCAACCCCGAACCCGCGCGGAACCCACGGACCCGCCGGAACGAAAACAACCTCCGCGCACCCAAGGGGGGGGGGGGGGCAGGAACTTCAACTTCTCCCTCTCTCACTTGGGTGCTGGAAAAGGCCGTCAACCCTCCTCTCTTTCTCTCTCTCACACACACATCACACATACTTGCATACATACGTACTCGCCCCACGACCACGGCATCACAAAACACGGAACAATGAACGCGCAGGAACGCGAACAAAGATGCGCTTGATCCCGATACCCATCTACTCCCCCCCCCATCGTTCACAGACCCAACTGCACATGCTGCTACCATCACACAAAGAAACCCCAGTGGGTATGAAACTCGTCTGTCCACTGTTAGGATTTCTCTGACTGCATATCTAGAACTTGTGTACAGTATTCACCGATGCTGTACCAGTGTACAGTAATGGTAATCCATTAGAAACGCATACATAGAAAGCATTAGAAAACTTAACGCATTAGGAATGACATTTCAATTGTACGTCTGTAACGTCATTCCTAATGCATGTGGAATTTCCGTACAACAATTGTCTGAACAACAATTCTTTCTGTCCCATAATGGTTATCTACCATTTCAGTGCGATTTTCTACAAGAAAATTATCAGCACAACAACCTTTTTTGGTTCATTGCATTTCGATGTTGAAAGAGTCCACATGTACAAGCAACCAATATAGACAAAACTCAACATTTGAATGGGAAGGTTGTCAAGTAGAAAAAGTTCATAATTTGCCCGACTGATTTCCAAAGAAATATTATTATTCAACCGAAGATTGCATAAGCACACTTCCACGGATGAAACCCCTGAGTAAAAAATACATTTCAATGACAAAAATCATGACTACATTGTTTTTGATAAATGAATGAATGGCCAAAATTAAAAATATTCGGCAGAGAATAATGCGTGATTTGAATGAATGCAGGAGGACTCTCAAGCACGCACACGAGCAATTGATATATCACCATACACAAAATTTCGATGAACAGGACATTATCCATAAAACGAGTTCCTGATAGGTAAAATACAAGCTTTTTCACCCATTTCATAAATTTTGATGATAGTTTTCCCGTACAAAAATGAAGATCTCCCGAAACAAAACAAAACAGGTATACGAGTAAACTATAGACTCTTTCAGGGAGTATTTCAAGCAGGTCAACGACGTAGGTGAACTCTCTCAATACCACAGACACCCCAGAGATTTCCCAGGGTGATTACCCAGGTACCCCGCGGGAAAAAAAGCAGCTCGTCGGAAGCGAGAAAAATTCTCCGGTCCCAATGGTCCCCCACGGAACCGCCAGGCCAAGTACCAAAATGGAATGCGCAAAGCCTGAAAACATGCCGGGTACTCTTTGAACCCCTCGGGGAATGAATCCCCCGAACAGACACGTAAAATCCGTTTGATTTGATTTACTTTTTTGGAATTAGGGAGATACTCATTTCTCACCAGCTCAGGATTCGCAACGCAAATCGTTCCGCAAGTGAAAGGGACTTATCAAAAGTATTGGAAGTCGTTCGACAGCATGGGGTTCGTCTTTTCAAGGCGATCAAAACATATTAATTAATTGTAAGGAACACCTTTCTGACGAACGTTATTTCTACTCGAAACCTTGATGAAACTGAAAAACAGACGAAGGATTGTCTTTTAGCCAACAGAAGGCGGGGAAAGTGGAAAGGAAGGAAACCCCGATGAAAAAAAAACCCCAGGGCACTAAGAATAAAATTTCAGGACGAATGCCAGAAGATTCAAAGGATCTTTGCAAAAAACAGATGCGATCTGAATGCTCCTTTTCGACGTACCATGAAAATAGGTACTGTTGTTTCTAATTTTCCTTCGCAACTTGAAGGCTACTTTGATATTTCTTCAGAATCAAAATTAACTGAATCAAAATGATCCATTTTTCAAGAGAGAGTGGCATAATAGATTTCAGCTACCT